CATGCTGGGAGGCACAAGGATGCAATGGGAGGCACTGGGTGGAACTGGGAGTACCCAGGAGGAACTGGGTGGCACTGGGAAGCCCCAGAAGGCACTGGGTCAGACTGGAAGGAGGTACTGGGATGGACTGGGAGGGACTGGGAGGCTCTGCAAGGCCTGAGGAGGTACTGGGAAGCACTGGAAAGTCCTGGGAGGCACTGGGAGGTACTGGGATGTCCCGGGAGCTACTGGGAGGCAGTGGCATGTCACTGGAAAGCACTGGGAGGCACTGGGATGCCCCAGGAGGCACTGGGAGGCACTGGGGAGCCCCAAGAGGGACTGGGAGGTACTGGGAAACACTAGGATGCCCCAGGACACACTGGGAAGCACTGGGAGGTCCTGGGAGGCACTGGAATGCCCCGGGAAGGAACTGGTAGGCAGTGGGATGGCACTGTGAAGCACTGGGAGGCACTGGGACGCACTGGAAAGCCCTGGGAGGTACTGGGAGACACTGGGAAGCACTGGGAAAGCATTAGGATGCCCCAGGACACACTGGGAAGCACTGGGATGCTCCAGAAGGTACTGGGAGGCAGTGGGATGGCACTGGGAGGCACTGGGGTGGACGGGGAGACACTGCTATGCCTTGGGAGGCACTGGGAAGCACTGGGAGGCACTGGGGTGTCCCACAGGGCACAAGGATGCCCCAGGAGGCACTGGGAAGCACTGGGATGCCTCAGAAGGCACTGGGAAGGCATTAGGATGCCCCAGAAGTCACTGGGAAGCACTGGGAAAGCTGGATGCACTGGGAAGCACTGGGAAAGCACTGGGATGCACCAGGAGGCACTGGGAGGCACTGGGAAAGCACTGGGATGCACCAGGAGGCACTGGGAGGCACTGGCATGCCCCGGGTGGCACTGGGAAGCACTGGGAAGGCCCCAGGAAGCACTGAGAGACACTGAGAAGGACTGGGAGGCACTGGGAAGCACTGGGATGCCTCAGGAGGCACCGGGAAGGCATTAGGATGGCCCAGGAGGCACTGGGAAGGCAGTGGGAGGCACTGGGAGGCACTGGGATGCCTTGGGAGGCACTGGGAAGTGCTGGGGAGGCACTGGGATTTCCCAGGAACTACTGGGAGGGCAGTGGGATGGCACTGGGTAGTACTGGGAGGCACTGGGAAGCACTGGGAAGCAGGAGGATGCCCCAGGAGGCACTGGGAAGGCCTTGAGAAGGCACTGGGAAGGCCCTGGGGAGGCACTGGGAAGCACTGGGAAGCAGGAGGATGCCCCAGGAGGCACTGGGAAGCACTGGGAAGCAGGAGGATGCCCCAGGAGGCACTGGGAAGCACTGGGAAGCAGGAGGATGCCCCAGGAGGCACTGGGAAGCACTGGGAAGCAGGAGGATGCCCCAGGAGGCACTGGGAAGCACTGGGAAGCAGGAGGATGCCCCAGGAGGCACTGGGAAGCACTGGGAAGCAGGAGGATGCCCCAGGAGGCACTGGGAAGCACTGGGAAGCAGGAGGATGCCCCAGGAGGCACTGGGAAGCACTGGGAAGCAGGAGGATGCCCCAGGAGGCACTGGGAAGCACTGGGAAGCAGGAGGATGCCCCAGGAGGCACTGGGAAGCACTGGGAAGCAGGAGGATGCCCCAGGAGGCACTGGGAAGCACTGGGAAGCAGGAGGATGCCCCAGGAGGCACTGGGAAGCACTGGGAAGCAGGAGGATGCCCCAGGAGGCACTGGGAAGCACTGGGAAGCAGGAGGATGCCCCAGGAGGCACTGGGAAGCACTGGGAAGCAGGAGGATGCCCCAGGAGGCACTGGGAAGCACTGGGAAGCAGGAGGATGCCCCAGGAGGCACTGGGAAGGCCTTGAGAAGGCACTGGGCAGCACTGGGAGACACTGGGTTGGCCCAAGAAGCACTGGGGCACTGGAATGCCCCAGGAGGCACTGGGAAGGCCTTGAGAAGGCACTGGGAAGCACTGGGAGACACTGGGAAGGCCCTGGGGAGGCACTGGGAATGGCACTGGGAGGCACTGGGAAGGCACTGGGAGGCACTGGGAGGCACTGGGAGACACTGGGTTGGCCCAAGAAGGACTGGGGCACCGGAAGGGCTTGAGACGGCACTGGGAGGCACTGGGAGGCACCGGGAAGGCCCTGGGGGGG